ATTATCACTTTGTTCTTCTTTTTTACCTGCTTCAAGTATTCTACTTTCATTAGCCTTTAATTGTGTCATTCTTTCTCTTGTTTTTTCTGAAACAATTTGTATTTGGTCTTCAAGTTGTTTAATTAGTAAATTTAATTGATTAATTTTCTTCTTATATTGAAAACTAAGTTCCTTATATCTTTCTCTTTCTTTAATGATTTCTTCAACTGATCCCATGAAAACAGAAATTCCTTTCTAGTTCTTAGTTCAATGTTCTATTTTAAACTACTTCTCTTTCTATTTTTATTCTTTTTATTTTTTATTTTTTATGAAAATAATAAATTATTAATATTAGTTTTAATATAGTTTTAATATAATAATTTTATAATTTAATAAAAGTATTATAAGTAAATTATACATTAAGAAAGTGAAGAAATGATAAAGATAATCAAATCACAAATGAATGAATTTCAACCAGATCACAACAAACTACAAACCATTCAACAACTTGTTGAAGCATCATTAAGTTGTCAAAGACAAAATGAAGTATTACAATTATTAGATATTGTTTCTCATTATGAAGAATATTCAACATATTTACAATATTTATTACTTAATACAACAAATGAAGTATATTTATCAATAATTTTCTTATTACTTAAACAAGCAATTGAAAATGGATGTAATACAGATTATATTGAATTAGTTAAAACAATTTTTAAATTAGTAAGAGATGGGAAACAACATATAATGAAAGGAGGATATTCTATTTTAACAATATGTTTTTGTAAAAGTCCATTATGTAGTCAAATGATTATTCAATTTATTTATTCTTCATTACAATCAACACAAACATTAATAATACAATTTGGAATAGAACTTCTTGATATTATTATTACAGATCATTTTGAGAGTTTAGATAAATCATTTTATCCTATAATTGAAAAAATTATGGAAATAGTTCTTCAATATTTTTCTTCAATTTCAATTAATTTAAAATCAAAAGTATTAAATACATTTACTGAACTTATTCTTTTTGAAGCACCATTTTTATCTAATGCATTAGAATTATTATTAAAAACATTTTGTACAGAAATTTATGATAA